ATGATGAAGATAAAAATATAAAAGATAACTAAATCTTCTGAGGAAAATCACTTGAAGTGTAAATGGTAGCGAGGCTGGAGACACAGTTCAGGGGGTAGCAGAGCTAGTCTTGTAGAGGCTAGGGTTTGGTACCCAACACCCACACTGGGCACCTTACAGCCACCTATAACTCCAGCTGCAGGGCATCGGCCACCCCCTGGCTTCTGTGGGCACCTGTGAGTGTGTGCACATGAGCTCATGCATACACATTCATACACAGATAAATAAACGGTAAATGAACACACGTGAATAGAGCCTTCTATGAGGCTGAGATGTAGCTCAGCAACGGATTAGTTACCTAGCAGGTGCGTGGCCTGGCATCCATCCCCAATACCGAAAAACAAAAGTTTTGTCTACCTATGTTGCCTTTGATGAGATGATGGGGCATTTGAAGCTTTCTCCAAAGTGAAGGAACAGTAAGTGCAGAGACTGTACATCTACATCAGCCTTGGAATAGTCAAGAAACAGAAAACAGAAGGTCACTGCAGCCAGAGCAGAAGAAACAAAACAGGAGGGGCGGATCTACTGCAAACTCATGACGCAAGACATCATGCAAGCGCTTGAAAGCTGCTGGTGTCTGGCACTCATGTCCAGAGGTTCTGCTCCACTGGTTGAAGGTGTCACTGGGTTTCAACATCCAAACAAGGCCGTGAAACCGCTGACAAGACACTTGGACTAGAGAGACTCAGAGGCATGTTTCTAGAACTGCAGGCCCAGATCCAGAATGTCGAGAGGCTTTGAAGGTACAAATAGAGTCAAAATGAAATAATCCGGCTGAACATAGTGGCACCTACTTTTAATGCTCCACTTAGGAGGCAGAGACAAGGTGATTCTCTGTGAATTCAAGGCCAGCATGTTTTACATAGTAAGTTCTAGAACATCTAAGAACATAGAGAGACCCTGTTTTACAAAAAGAAGGAGGAGGAGGAAAGAAAGGGGGACTTATAAGGCAGCAAAGGGAAGCAGTAAGAAATAAGAATAAAACAGACATACATAGTTTAGTTTATGCCACATACCTGTGATCCTAGCATTCAGCGAGGCTGCGGTAAGAGGATTTGAAGTTGAAGGCTAATATGGGCTACATAGCAAATTTTAGGTCAGCTTGAGGCAACATAGAAAGACCATGTTTCAACAAAATAGAGTCAACAATAACAAACTACACAAACACAGACCCCAACAGAAAAGAAGAAAGGGTTAGCATGCGGATTAGTTTCTTACAGCTTCTGCACAAACTCAGCATAAATTTAGTGTTTTCCACACACATTTATTGCCTGTTTTGTTTGGTTTTGCACAGCTTGGGATCAAACCCAGACAGAGCCCTTTGCATGCAAGGCAAGCTCTCTACCACTGAGCCACACCCCTACCTCATTTGTTGGTTTTTTGTTTGTTTGTTTTTTAATTCTTGGTGTGAGTGAGGCCAGGAGGGCAGAGGGCCTGCATAGAGAAGAGAAATCCTGGGCAGAGAGCATGTCTATGACAAGCTGGAGATAGGGTAGGCTTCTGGAAGATATGGGGGTAACTCTAGCTGAGACTCCTAGTATCAGGGGCCACGGAAACTGAAGAGGACACCCTCTAACTAGACATGACTCCTAGTGATGGGAGGGGAACAATAAGCCACCCACAAAACTTTGATTCAAAATTTACCCTGCCTACAAGACACGTAGGGATAAAGATAGAGCAGTGATTGAGGAATGTCCAACCAATGACTGGCCCAACCTGAGACGGACCCCATGGGAGAGAGCCAACCCCTGACACTATTAACGATAGATATTCTGCTATGCTTGCTGATGGGAGTCTAGCATAGCTGTCCTCTGAGAGGCTCCACCCAGCAGCGGATTGAAACAGATATTGAGACTCACAGCCAAACATTGGGTGAAGTGTAGGGAGTCAGTGGAAAAGAAGGACCTGGAAGGGACAGTAGTTCCGCAAGAAGACCGACAGAGCCGACTGACCAGGGCGCAGAGGGGCCTGTGGAGACTGAAGCAGCAGCCAAGCACAGTGCATGGACTGCACTAGGCCCCCACACAGATGTAGCCGATGGCAGCTTAGGCTTCATGTGGGTGCCCTGGTAAAGGGGTGGGGCTGTCTCCGACATGGACTCTGTTGCCTGCTTTTTGATCACCTCTGCTTGATCACGTCCACTGACTGCCTTGCCAGGCCATAGGAGAAGAGGATGTGCTCAGTCCTGATTCGACTTAATGTGCTAGGGTGAGTTGGTGGGGGAATCCCCTATTCTGAGGAGTAGGAGAGGGGATGAGGAACGAGGGAGGGAGGGTGGGACTGAGAGGAAGGAGAAGGCTACGATTGAGATGTAAATTAATTAAAAATTCTCTCTGTGTGTGTCTCTGTGTGTGTCTCTGTGTGTGTGTAAATATATGGCACATGTGTGGGTGCCCAGAAGACATGAAGTTACAGGTGGTTGTGAGTCATCTGATGTGGGTTCTGGGAACTAAATTCAGATCCTCTGGAAGGGTTGTCAATGCCAGCAACATATGGGGCTGGAGAGATGGCTCAGTGGCTAATAGTGTGTCCTAGTTAGGGTTACTATTGCTGTGGTGAAACACCATGACCAAACACAGCTCGGAGGAAAGAGTTTATCTCTCTCAGCTCCATGGAACAGTTCACCGTCAAAAGCAGTGAGGGTAGGAACTCAAGCAAGACAGGAACCTGGAGGCAGGAGCTGAGGCAGAGGCCGTGGAGGAGTGCTGCTTACTGGCTTGCTCCTCATGGCCTCTGCATAAGAGGTTCCTTGTAGAATCCAGGAGCACCAGCCCAGCAGTGGCTCTCCTTCAGCTGGAGGCCCCTCCTTCATTGATCACTAATCATGAAAATGCCCTGCAGGTTTGCCTACAGACAGATCTTATCAAGTGAGTCTTCCTCCTCTCCAACTTCTGTGCCAATCTGACATAAAACTAGCCAGCACAGAGTGCTTGCTGCTTCTGCAAGAGGACCTGAGTTAGGTTCCTAGCACAAGCATTGGGTGACTCACATCTGCCTCTGAGTCCAGCTTCAGGGGATATGATGCCTCTTCTGGCTGCCACAACCCTCCCCCAAATGCTTTCATACAGACAACTAAACATAAGTAAAAACAATATAAATACTTTTTTTTTTTTTTTTTTTTTTTTTTTTTTTTTTTAGAGCCAGCAATGTCAGGCTGAGAGCTTCTTGTATCACTAGCTCTGTTTTTTAATTATCCTCTCTGTTCTCACCCTCCACTTCTAAGAATGCTTGTGGTTATAATGAATGTGACTATGTACTCTGGAGCAGTCTCCCTACTTTAAGTTCAACCGATTATCAAACATAGTACCACCTCAAATTAATTCTCCATTTCCAAGTAAGGCGATGTATTCAATTTCTAGGAATTAGGATGAAGTGTCTTGTGTGGCATGGTACCATTCTACCCACATACTGTAGATGTATCTTTTGCAAAAAAGATTTAGATCATGTTGAGCTATTTTTTTTTTTAAGTTGGAATGCCGGTTGTCTTTTGAGAGAGTTTTGTATGCAGCCCAAGTTGACGTGGAACTCATGGAAATCATTTCGCCGCATGCTCCCACGGTCTGGGGTTACAGGCATGAACCATTGCCCCCAGCCTCATATTTTGCATTTTGATGTTAAGCTGGAAGGTTCTGTGAATGTGCATGTATTTATTTGTGGAGATTTGTTTGTCACGGTGTCACATTTGAGTACCTCTTTAGTCACTATGGAGGAGGAAAAAGAAGGCTGCCTGGAGGGTGCCCAGTAGAGCGCCTCTGCTCTGTAAATGCCTTGTTTTGTTGTCATTATCAACGATGAAACTAATGACAAGGTCCGTCTCTGTATGTTTTGGTTGAGTGTGTTCCTCTGCTTCTCAACAATCTCCTGATAGTCAATGTTACAGACAACTGTGATACATTTTACGTTTGCTGTGTGAATGTATCTTGTGCACTCTGAAGCTGGGCATCAGTGAGCACGATACCTGTACAGCAGTGCATGTGGTCATGTGGGGACAGACGCCTTCTCAGAAATTCCAAACTGTATCCAGGCAGAAAGGCTCGGGGAAAAGGGAAGCCAGGAAGAGGAGAGAACAGGAGGAGAGAAGAGGAGACAGTAATGAGAAAAGGAAGAGATGGTGATGGAGGTGAGATGAGGGCACAAGGAAAGATCAGAAAGAAAGCAGACGGGAGCTTCCAGATTCTGCAATTTAAACTTAAAATAAATAAACAGGCAGGCTGCTTCCCTCAGTAGCACAGTCGGAAGATCCAAGTATGGTCCGCGGTTGATGATGCAGGTCTCTGGCCCTCAGAGGTCAGTTGAAATAAGGATCAAGGAAGTTGAAATAAGAACACAAAGGAAAAGAATTGAGAAAGCAGGGAGGAAGAGGGAGAGAGAGAGGGAGGCTAGCGGGGAAACCAGAGAGAGACAGAGAGAGAATGCAGAGCCTGGACCTGAGAGGCAGGGGTGTAGGTGCTTGCTTCCAGGCCTGGGTGTCCCAAAGCCTGGGTGTCCCAATGCCTTAATAGGCAAGGGAGGAAGATGGAAAGCAGAGAGGCGCCAGGAATGAGAGCCACACGCCAACACTCAGAGGCCTGCCAAAGCCACACAATCAAGGACCCAAGCTTCCGGGCCCCCAACCCCCAGATGTAGGTGTGCCAGCCACCTGGGATGACTCATGCCCTGGCGATGTGGGCTCGCATGCCAAGAGCGAGCCTGGGCACCCTGCCCACCAAAGGCACACCACAAGCCAAGGGGGAAATTCATACTCTTCAGGGACTCATCCACGGGGGGCTACCAAGCCCAACTTTGCCACCTTGCCCACAGCGCGTGCCCTGATGCTCACCTCCTAAGTTCTGCCATCTAGGTGTCTCACTCCACTCCCCACACCCTGCTACCCCAGACCTTACTAGGGAAGCGGGAGAACCAGATGAGGCATTACGCAAGGTCTGCTGTTTACCTCCTGCATGGGGCCTCCTCCCTCCCTATAAAATCTGACGTGGTGAGGAGACGCGCTGAGTCCAATCTGGGTAACCAAGGCAGCCCGGGAGAGGGGAAGGAAGGAGGTTCGAGGTGAATGAAGGAGGAGCAGAGAGGGGCTTCGAGTCAGCCGGCAGCGGGGGTGGTCCGCCACTTGCGAGCTCGGGGGCGGCTGAGGACCAGGGTGCATCAGGATCCCCGCTTTCCATGGAGGCTCCCGAGCTGGGCCCGGGGTTGGTGGAGCGTCTGGAGCAGCTGGCGACGTGTCCGCTGTGCGGGGGCCCCTTCGAGGACCCAGTGCTGCTGGCGTGCGAGCACAGCTTCTGCCGGACGTGCCTGGCGCGCTGCTGGGGGACCCCGGCGGCGCCGGGCGCGGAGGCGGCGCCCCCTTCCTGCCCCTGCTGTGGCCAGCCGTGTCCCCGACGCAGCCTGAGGTCCAACGTACGGCTGGCGGTGGAGGTGCGCATCAGCCGCGGGCTGCGAGAGAAACTGGCGGAGCCCGGGGCCCGGACCGGGAGACGGCGAGGGGGCCGCATCCCCACCATGGGCTGCCTAGACCCGCACGGAGAGGTATGGCGGCCGCCTTCGCGGGTCCGGGTTGTCGGTAAAGAAGAGGTCTGTGGAGGTCCTAGCAAAGGTGGAAGCGATGCTTTGCTCTGAAGCGCCGACAGAAACGTAGATAGTTTCTGTCTTGGCACCGGGAAAGCAGAGGCAGGAAGGCTGCTGCAAATTCAGGTTCAGTTTGGCACACAGAGCGAGTTCCAGTCCAGAGATGGCTGCGTAGAAAAGAGAGACGGATTTAAAATAATTCTATGTTTTAAGAAAAAGAGGGAGAAGAGGGGAGGTAAAGGAGGGAGATAGACAGGCCAGTCTTGAGTAAGTAGTTTGAGAAAGGGAGTCAGGAAAAGCTGGAGGGAGTTGACAGTTGGTCAGGGGAGGAGGAGGCTGGACAGATGCCTGGAGTCTTGTCAGAGCTAGAGGGAAGAGGTTTTAGAGGCAGAATCATGCTGGCGGTAGTTAGAACACGGAGGCCCTTGGAGATTGCAGAAGCCTCCTGCAAAGCCAGGACTGCGCAAGGCTCACAGGTGGAACCCAGAAAGGGAGAGGGGGTACAGACACTCAGGTTAGGGATCGGAGCCCGGGAGGGTGGAGATAGGACCGAATGAACAGTCACTGGAGCCAAGGCTGAGACTGGGGACAGGAAAAGCAGAAGTGGGAGTGAGGAAGCAGGAAACTGGCAAATGGGGTGCGTGGTGGGGGGTCAGATCCAAAGCGAGGCAGGGGTTCCCCTAACAAGCCCTAGCCGAGCTGTGGGTTGTTACTGTTCTCAGCTCCTCCCAGCTCTCCAGGCAGGGGCGGAAACAGGTGGAGGCCAGGTCCGGGTGAGCAGCTGGCGGGCCTCCGGGTAATCGTTGCAGTTGCAGCCCTAAAATCTTCTCACTAGGCCTTCCCCGACCCCTTTGTACATCAGCCACTCCCATTCCTTTGTGGTACCTCAAGACAAACGCATTTGCCCCCCCCCCCCCCTTAGCAGCCCTTCTGCCCTGGGTCCGGCTTCCACACTTTGAAGGCTTCACAGTCCTGATTAGTCTAGGTGTAATTGCCTTCCTTTTTCTCCCTCTTGCCTCAGTGGATTTCTTAGCCATCCTCTCTAGGCAGCAGAAAAGAGGGAAGGAGGAACCCCAGTGTTTGGAGGGGAGGGAATCCAGCGTCCTCTTCTGGCTGCCAAGGATCTCTGTGAAATCTGTAGGGCCTCTTGGGGCACTTCTGAGTTCAGGGGCCTGATGGTAGACAGACATAAAACAAAGAGCCCAATAAACGCCACTGAGCTTTTAAGACAAGAAAGGAAGCAGCTTTATTGTTAGGCTTGTATATAACGAACGACTCCTAAATCAAGGAATATGAGTGTGTGCTCGCCTTTTGTGGTGAAGGGGTGGACATTTGTCAGGAATACGCTGGAGAAACTGGAAAAAGGATAGCACTACAGATAGAGAGCATGGGCCCAGGGAGGTCAAACAAGAGGTAAGAGGTCGGTATGTTGAGGCTGTGGAAGGGAGAACCCTCGAAGGATGGAGAACGCATATAACAGTCTGGATGGAACTAGGAGCATGAGGAGAAGGTGATTTTGGAGTGAGCAGAAGGGAAGGCCAGGAAAGAGGGAAATATAGCATAAAAAAATGGAGCAGAGGTGGGGGCGGGGGGATCGTGTTAGGGGTGGGAGGGTGCCCACCACTCAGAGCTCACTTCAGGCAGAGGAGAGGATCTCCCACAAGATGAACCTGACACTCACACCATCTCTTCTTTTGCCCACACCAGGATATGAGGAAAACATGGAGAAGGTGAGTCCCATTTTTACTGTTTCTTCCTTTCTACTGCTTGCAGCTATAGCCATCACCTCCTCTCCCTGCCCACATCTTCATCTCCACTCACCAACAGGCTTTCTAGAGTGTAGCCTTGTACCTGTTTCTGTCAAGAGAGAGTGGGTTAGGAGTAGGGAGTCATCAGAACCAGCATCAAAAGACAGGAATGCTAATAACTTCCTGACTCTTCCTTCATCTGTCCAGATTTGATGTTCCAACACCCAAGCCTTCTCACTCAGAGGAGGATCTCCCTGAAGATTACCCTGTGGTGAAAAACATGCTTCACAGATTGACAGGTGAGAAGGGAAGAGGAGAGTGGATCACACTCCATGTTCTATTTGCTCTTTTTTAGCTCCCAAAAATGCTCACGCTCCCTTTGGTATCAGTTTTGATTTCCTAGGGCCAAAACAACAAAGTGCCACAAACAGGCGTCTTTAGCAAACATCCACACCTCAAAGTCCGAAGGCTAAGGAGAGGTCTGTTCCATGCCTCTTTCCTGGCTTCCAGAAGCCTTGATGCTTCCTCGGCCCAAAATGTGTCCAAGTGTCTCCTCTCCCTTTTAGGGTAGCAGTCATAGGACATCAGGGCCCATCCTAATGATCTCATTTTTTTTAAACCTCATTACCTTTGCAAAAATCCTTATCCCACATAAAGTAAATTCAGAAAAATTGGGGAACAAATTGAGCCAGTCCCCCACCTCACTCCCTCCTTTTTAAAGAGTGTCTTTCTGTGTATCCCAGGCTGGCTTGGAACTCTAGTTCCTCCTGTCTTTGCCTCTAATGTGCTGAAGCTGTGGGTATGTGACACCACACCTAGCCAGGAGGCACAATTTAACCCAGAACAACATTCTTAATTCCTCAGATCTCTGCCACTTTTGCTCATTCTTCTGTGTACATCCAAATAGTACAAGATCACTCTCAGGGGCCCCTGCTGCTACACTCTCCCATTGCTCTTCTTGGGAAGGGTCCCAAGACTCCAGCATCTCTTTTCCCTTCTTTGCTCACTCCCAAGATAACTCTCCATCCTTTAAGTAAGTGCCTAGAGATGCTCCACCCCTTCCTTAGTCACCCATCCATCCTACTTAATCAAAATTGCTTCTAGCTTCTAATGCAGAAGCATTTCCTTAAAGTGCCCCATAGCTAAAAGGTCAGTGGCTCTTTCTGGTCTCCTTGGCGATCTCTCCTTTGGCCACACCTACAGAAATGGGCCTGTTCATTCCCCTCCCGGGAGAGTAAGTGGGCTGGTTTTACTGGGTATCTTAGATTCCTCCTTTGCCCCTCCCTTGATCACTTTGGTTCCTATCAGGTATCAGTCTCTCAGTAATTTTGCAGACCTGGCTCCCATGCTCCACCCAGATGCTGCAGATTCAAGGGTTTCTGCTTTGTGTTGTGCTTGAGAAAGGGTCTTACTGTGTAGCTTGCTATGCAGGCTGTCCTCGAATTCAGAGAGATCTGGCTGCTGGCATTAAAGGTGTGTACCACCACAGTCGGCTTGCAGGTTTAAGTATTAGTCCTCTTCTCTCTAGAGGTTCCATCACTCTTCCTCCAACAGGATCAATACCAGACAGCCTCCCCTCCTGTCTCCATGCCCTGGACCAGCATAATCCTTGTCCAAGTCCAATTCCACAAAAATGGTGCCTCAGAACACAGAGTGGCCAGCCTCCATCTGCTCGGTGCCTTAGTCTTGTCTGATCCCAGCCGCTCTTTGAGTTGTTGAGATGACTCATCAAGCTCTGCCCTTAAGTGCCCTCAATGCCTCTTCACTAGTCTCTCTCCGGACTCAAGAAACTTCTCCTGTGTTCCCCCTGTCTCCTCTTCTGCAGCTGACCTGACGCTTGACCCTCGTACTGCACACCGCGGTTTGCTCATCTCCTCTGACCACCGCGGCGTGAGTCTGGCTCCACCAGGAACGCCGGCGCCGCTTGACAGTCCGGCTCGCTTCGATCAGCTCCTGGCGGTGCTGGGTGCACAGGGCTTCGCATCAGGCCGCCACTGCTGGGAGGTGGAGACCGCGGAAGGCGTGTCCTTCAGAGACTCTACTGCAAAGGATGAGGACCCAGAAGAGAGCTGCTATGCGGTGGGCGCTGCTGGGGAGTCCGTGACGCGTAAGGGCCTCATCAAGCTGTGCCCATCGGAGGCTGTATGGGCCGTCGAGGGCCGCGGCGGCCGCTTGTGGGCGCTCACGGCCCCAGAACCCACTCTGTTAGGCGGCGCCAGGCCACCGCCGCAGCGCATTCGCGTGGACTTGGACTGGGAGAGGGGCCGTGTGGCCTTCTACGACGGCCGCTCACTGGACTTGCTCTTCGCCTTCCAGGCGCCGGGCCCGCTAGGGGAGCGCGTCTTCCCCCTTCTCTGCACTTGTGACCCCCGTGCCCCTCTGCGCATCGTGCCGGGAGAAGGCTGAGCTTTTGCTCTCCAGCTCCTACCCCTAGCCTACCTAGCTGGAATGCCTCGAGACTACTCTCCAAACAGAAATCCCCGTCTATTTCAGTGATCTTGTCTGTACACCTGTCGCAGCAGAATTAATAAGCACCCTTCACCCACTCACACTTATTTTTTTTCCTCCCAAAATAAGACCTCTGGCGTGTACATCCGTGCCTTTAAGGCAGTGTGGTCCTAAGTCTCCATGCCTGAATACAACCTTTTTCTTGAGTTCTTTCTGTACCATTCCAGGCAGGGATAGAGAAAGAGGCTGTCTGTACCACCAGTACTCGGGAAAAGTCCGAATTTACCTCCAATTCCAAAGGGTCAGAGGCAGATCCACAGCAGGAAGGCTGGAGCTTCCTCCTAACGTCCACTCTGAGGATTTCCCTCAAGAAAAACAGGTCTTAAAACTAGATGCTTAACTCATAACCTAAGCCTCTTGGGACTTGAAGCCTAAAACATAAATGTTGGGATGTATAAGCAAGCCATTCTGCCCTCCACCTTCCTTCTATGACGCTTACAGCCTTTTTCCATTGAACACCCTCCTGGAACTTCATCTTGCACACAAAAGAACCAATGGTGCTACCTCCCTTCTGTGCCTGGGAGCAACCGAGGCACCCCAAACGTCCTGTAGTCATCCATGCTCCCGTGTATAAATGGGCCTGTCTTTAACACGTTGTGCAATGTTGGGTTATTTATTTTTGTGCATCTGTGGCAATAAAAGAGATCTCAGAGGTGGCATGGGTTTTGCTGATCTCTGTACTGTGCACAGCTGGACGCCTCCAGAACAATGCCAGAACCCAGCAGCAGCGGAGGAGCGGGGAGAGACTGTCTGGCAATGACAGAACAATGCCAGAACCCAGCAGCAGCGGAGGAGCGCTGGGAGAGCGGGGAGAGCGGGGCATCCGGGCGGGGAGAGACTGTACAGCCCAGGAAGGAAAAGCGTAGGAGTGTACTGCAGGCCCATCCCCCATCTCTTTGCGCTCTCCTCCTTTCAGGGCCTCAGGGCCCTCCTATCAATGCTGACGCTCCAAGAGTAAAGGCTGAGAAAGTCGTTAGCTCTAAGTCAGTGGTCTCAGCCAGCGTTGTCAGAAATGTACTCATGACTATTTTTGGTTCCACTTTCCTTTAGAGGTGTGAATGAGAAAGACCTTTCCTAAGTCCTTTTGAGGGCCAGAAGGGGTAGAGTAGAAGGGCTGGAAGCCCTATGGTCTCCATACAACCTTACATCCCACAAGCAAGAACTAAGACTTGGAATAACTGCATAAGTAGAACTATAAGCCAGGATTAACACACAGCGCTTGAGTGCAAGATTGCCTGGGGTCTGACTGGGGCCCTGGCAGTGAAAGCTGGGACTGTTGAGAACCCAGTTTAAGTCCTTGGGACTCAAGCTGAGGGTGCAGGTGGCCAAGGTAACTGGATCCCAGGACAGGTATTTTGGCAGTGAGAACAAAAGGGACAGGCCAGGACAAAGATGCCTGGATCCCAGGCAAGGGAGCAAACTTTAAGGAAGGAGAACCCAGATGCTTGGGTTCTGGAACAGCAGCAAGTCAGAATTCCAAGACCTCTACCTACCCTCCTCTCCCTCTTCTCTATCAGGCAGGAGAGGCAAGAAGGGGGCAGGAGAAGGGATCAGACCATGGGTTGAGTCCCCATGTAGCCAGATGGATACATTTGGGGCCAGGCAGACACATGAATAATGGAGACAGGGATTCAGTGCTGCATAGGTCCTGGAGGGGGCTGGGAGGGGTCAGGAGGCTGTGGAGGGGTGGTTGGGGTGGGCCCTGCGGTTGTGTGGCGCCGTCCTCTGCGGTGACCGCGTACACAATGTGTATGACCACAGCCTTCCTCTTCATCCTCATCACTCTCAGTAGAGCTCTCACCGAAGGCCCGAGGCTTCTCATAAATACAGCAGCCTAGATGTAGAGGGAGGGATCCGCTTAAAAAGGACGATGAGCATAAGGTTCAGTCAGGTCCATGTCCGCCACACCTGTGTGAAAATTCTCTCCCACCACTGTCTCCTCCTACTCTTCCAGAACCCAGCTTCCTCAGCCTCCCACCCCAGGAACCCCAGGGCAGCCATGCCCCTTGTCTCTTCAGAGTCAGAGCACCTTTCTCTCACTCTTGCCCCTCAGGTCTTGGTACCTCGTGGTTTTATCCCCACGCCCACCTACTTTCCTTTCCACCGGTGCGAGCACTGTGAGACGGTGGCTAGGGTGCCGGGACCCCCACACTCACATTTTGAGGAGCGGCGCCCCATGTGTTCATTGTCCACAGTATCACTCGTCCATTCCACCTTTTTCTCTGGCTTCCGTTTTCGAAGTTTAATGGTTAGGCTCCGATTCTCCTGTAAGGTTAAGAGGTATGGGCCCATCTAGCTAATCTCCTTCTCCAAAGAAAGCCTTCATTCTTTCTTCTCTCATCTTTAGGCCTAATGCTCCCTAGTCCTAGCCACTTATTCTCTAATGTTCTGGCAACTCTGGTAATAATTACTAAACTAATCAGCTCTTTCAACTCGACATTATTAAAACCAACGCACCTTTCTCCCTTTGAAAGCAATTTGTTTTTGCAAAAATTATGGTGGCTCATTTGCTTCTCTCCTCTCTGATCTGTCAAAATACTACCGTCACCTTATCTTTTTTTGTTTCCTCATTCCCTCCGCTTTAACTCGCATCCATTACATGACTAACTATTGGTAAGTACTTGTCTTTTACGCTTGTCTCCAAAACCGTACTTTCTCAAATGGCGTTTCATTTCCTCCCCGTACCGTCCTTGCTCTTTAACCCAGTTTCTGTTTATTACGTACACAGACCGCCACTCCAAGCCATAGCAGCTACACCCAATTTTAACTGCGAGTTAAACGTTCCTTGACCAGCCACTTGCACCATTTGAGCCACTCCAAGCATTTCTAATTTCTAGTCCCTTGCGATTTTCCTAACAAGAGTCAACCCCACATGTCCCAGATCCCAAACCCTCCAACTTCTCAAACCCCCATTTCCCTCCCGGTACCTCCCAGACCCCTAAAGAGGCCCCCCTGCCCGCCTTTCTCACGGGCTCGGTTGTCACGGTAACCGTTGTCTCAGTGACGGTCTCACTCAGCCCGGCCCCTGCCTCCGCCATGGCTAAAGCGAAAAGGGAGGAAGCGAGATGAGACACCCTTCCCTTTTTCTGCGCCTCTGAGATCTAAGAGAACCGGTACACGATTCGGAGTAGTGGCCAGGACCTCTAGCTTCTCATCCCCCCCTCCTCCAGGCCCTCTGCTTCCCCACCCCTGGGGATAACCTGTCCAACCCCACTTCCGGCCTTTCACTTCCGGTTGTGACGCAGCCTGCAGAACCCAGTTTCCCTTCCCCAGCACCGCTTGGGCTAAAGCAGGCGTAACCAGTTTAGTTCCGCCGTAAGGTAACAGTGCGCAGACGCCGCAGGTCGCAGAAGTGATGTCATTGTCGGGTGTGGTAAGGCGGCCCAGGGCCTAAGTTCATTGGAGCACAGAGCACGTGAGGTCTGTGCGCCTCTTCTGTGTGCTGAAAAAGTAGGTGGGTCAGGGACCTTATCTTCGCCAAGTTCCATTTTATCATTCTGCCGAGAAGCAGTTTTCCGGGAGCAGGAAACGCACTGGGTTCTAGTCCTCTCCCTGTTTATAGGTATCCGAGCGAAGGCACAGTAAACTTGGGATTTTCTGACTGTGGTAGGCCCTAAGAAAAAAGGATGAGAACACCCAGACTGCCATTTAAGTCCTACTTCGAGGGATACAAAGGCTAGGTGCGAGCCAACAATTCAAATTCATCTGGGTAAATTTTGTTGAATCTCACTTATCCATCCCCAAATCCCAGTTTTTGTTTCCTTACAGTGAGAAACTAAATTTAGGTAGGATATATGCATACAATGCATAACTGCTTTTTTAAAAATTGTGATGGTTAACGTTACATGTAGGCTTACTGTGCTTAACATTAAAAAAAGCAAAAAAATCCTCTAACTTGTAAGCCCCTGGCTTTTCTAGGTCGTACACTAGAGCCCACCCACCCACCTCTGTTTAAACTGACGTTGAAGAGTCAACCAATCCTTCCACACAGGGTTTTCTGTGTAGCCTTGGCTATTATTGAACTCGGTCTGTAGGTAGACCAGGCTGGCCTCGGAACTGTGAGACTGACCTGCTTCTGCCTCCCGGAATGCTGGTATTAAAGGCGTGAACCACCACCACCTGGCAATGAACTATTCTTAAATTGACTGATCCTGTAAGATTTGCTGCTCTTTCTGCTTTTGTATCAGCCTTGCTCACACGGCTCAATGGCTGGTACAGCTGCAGACATGTATGTTAAGACCCTGCCTACGTGTAGACAGAATACATGTTATCTAAGTCTTGACAGATGTGACGGGATGCTGCATCCTGGGAGCACTCTCAGCTGCAGTCCTGGTGCCATGAATATTTAATAAAGCCCCTTAATAAAATGTATTTATGGTCAAGGGGAATCTGAGCAACCTCAGACCAACCTCATTCTAGACTCCATTACCTTAGCCTTAGGTTTCTTGTTGTTGTTTCGTTTTTTTGGACAGCTGTATCTGTTTCACTTAAATTTCCTTTGGAATAGACAGATTATTGTTATTTCTGGTTGTTAGGCATTTTCTTAGGTAGCCCAGGCTGGCTCTGAACTTCTGTAGTTCACCATCCTCAAGCTCAAGACCTTCTTGTCTCTACGCCTGAAGTGCTGAGATTACAGGGCATATACTAACAGTCTGATCAGAAAGAGACCACGAATAACACACATAATGTCAAGGTTTCATAGAAAATAGACCTTTAGTAAATTCAAGTAGGGGAAGGAGTATTCTGGGAGCAGTGACTTTATTCTGAGGACAAAGCACTGTAGCCAGAGAGGACAGAGCAGGCATCAAAGGACCAGTGTCTTCACCTTCCAAGAAAGAAGTATTGTTGCTGAGTTGCCAGAAAAAAGGTCAAGAATCCTCCTTTTCCTGAAATCTATGGAGAGAGAAAGGACGTTATATTTAACCAAAAATAATTTCTAGCAGTGTGAGATGAGATACAACCCACAAGGGACCTCCCCTCTCACCCCAAGACAGGGTTTCTCTGTATAGCCTTGGCTGTCCAGGACTCACTTTGTAGACCAGGCTGTCTTCAAACTCAGAGATCCACCTGACTGCTTCCCCAAGTGCTGGGATTACAGGCGTGTACCACTACACCTGGCTTGAAGGACTTTTTCTTATGATTGGGTTGGATGAGCTTCCCCCAAACCTTCAACTTTAACCTCAAAATAACTAATGTCTACTTATTACCTTTGAAGTATGCAAAGATTATCTGGGACAGAAAATGACTAGCCAATAAAAAGAAAAAAACGCTTAACTGTACTTCATAAAAATGAAAAAAATTTGTAGCTGGACATGGTGGCACAGATCTCAAAGAACCCTACAAATGCCAGAAATGCAGCCTTCACCTAGACCTTAAGAAACCCAAAATTCAAGTTCTAAAAACCTAGCATACAGTCAAAAATTACAAGGCAAAAAAGTACTATGAGACAGTCAGCAGAAATAGGTAGCATTGGACCACCAAAACAGTGAGTTAGCACACACAGAGACATGTTTACTCAATATATATATAAAGAATAAAAGAAGCAATTCTAGATGGTTAACAGGAGCTGGGAAGTTGGCTCAGTGTTTAAGAGTACTTGTTCCCGCAAAGAAATCAGGTTTAATTCCTACCACCTACATGGTGGTTCACAACCGTCTTTAACTCTAGTCCCAGGGAATCTGGAGTCTTTTTCTAAGCTCGGTGGCTACCAGGCATGCACATAGTGTACTTACATACATGCAGGCAAAGCACTCGCACACATAATAAAATGTTAAATAAAACCCATTGGAAATGTTAAAATGACTAACAGGCTAATTGGCTGATTCACGAGGCTTGAAAAAAGGGTAGTGAGAACTGAGGTGCTGAGGAGATGGCTCAGTGGGTTCAGTGTCTGCGGCGCAGACATGAGGACTTGCCTTTGGCTTCCTAGCATCCATTCACAGACAGAAATACTGGGTGCGGTGGTCCACATGGTCAGAGTGGGCGCTAGTAGGGCTGGGAAGCATGAGACAATGACAGGCAGGATGAATATCCAAAGCTCATTGGGTAGCCAGCCTGAACTCCAGCCTCAGAGACTCTGCCTCAAAAGATAAGGCTGGAGAACTGGAGGTAATGGCACACACCATTAATCCCAGTACTCTGGAGGCAGAGGCAGATCGGTAGCTATGAGTTTGAAGCCAATCTGTTCTACAGAGAGTTCCAGGCCAGCCAAGAATATAGTGAAACCCTGTCTCAAAAACAAGAAATGCAGAGAGAGAAAAAAAGACACTTGATGACGCCACCCAATGTCTAACTTTGGCCTCTAAATGTACACATGCACAAATACATGCTACATCCACATGAAGACATGAATGTACCACACATACTAATAGAAGACAGAATTAGTGACCTGCAGGAAAGATACGGAGCAGTTACCCAGAAGACAAGAGAAACAGAAATGGGATGGCCAATACAGGAGATGAGAAATGTGAACGTCTAATACGTAATTTGAGAACATGGGGACAAGCAATATTGGAATGAGATAATGGCTGATAAAGTTCCAAGTTGGTGAAAGTTAAGTCAGTTCTCAGCTTCAGAAAACTAATAAGGGCTGGGTATGTACTTCAGTTGGTAGATGCTTACGTAGCTGCCATGAAGTTCTGAGTTGGAGCCTCAGCAACATAAGAAACAGCTGTGGGGGCACATGCCTGTAATCCTTGCACTGGAGAGGAAGCAGGATAAGAAGATCAAGAAAGAAAGGGGAAAAGTCAAATAAAAATCCTAAACAGAGCAAGTATAAAAGAAAGAAGAGCGCTCAGGGTACAACTGAGTGTAGAACACTTTTTCACATGCCAAGGCCCTGGCAGGAAGAAGGAAAACAACAAAAAGCTACAGAAAGCCACTCACTAAATGTTCCACAGCGGAGCTACACCAACAACCAACACAAAGAGTGCTTCTAACTACTCAGACCACACATGTTCTTTCAATCATGCAAGATTAATTATGTGAAGTCACCCCTTTGCAGTGGAAGATTTCAGCATAGCATACCACCATGCAAAGAGATGTATACTTCCTGTGTTTTAAATTTTCCTTTCTAGTAGTTTTTGTTGTTTCTTTGTTTTGCTTTGGTGTCAGAATCTCAGTGTCGCCCAGGCTGGCCTTGAATACACGATCCTCCTTTGAGGCATGTTTTACCACACCCAGCTTTCCTTTTATGTATCTTAAAAAGTTTAGTTCCCAGGCTATAAAAATAATGAGAGCTGTTGAGATAGCTCAGCAGTTAAAAACTCATACTGTTGCAGAGGGTCCAAGCTTGGTTCTCAGCACCCACATCCAACAACTCAGAACTATCTGCAACTCCAGCTCCAGGGACCCGCCCACCTGGTGGGCACCTGAACATTCCAATATGCAGATACAAACACCTACACATAGCCAGGCAAGGTGCCACACACCTGGGAGGCAGAGGCAGGTAGATCTCTATTATGAGTTCGAGGCCAGCCTGGTCTATAAAATGAGTCCAGGACAGCCAGGACTACACAGAAAAACCCTGTCTCAAAACAAACAAACAGAACCCATCTACACATAAAGAAAATAAACATCCTTTTAAGAAGTCAGGTGGAGTGGCACATGTTTGAATCTCAGCATTCAGGAAATAGGTAGGAAAACTGCTTAAGATTTGAGGTCAACCTAGACTGGTTGGTTGATAGTTCAAGGTGAGCCTGAGTATTTAGTGAGCCCCTGTCTTGAAAAACACAAAGTAAATAATAAAAAGGGTTACAAGCCTCCGTATTATGGACTGGATCAAGTTAAATACTTAATACAAGTCTGTCACTGACTTCGTTGTTGTCTGCAAGCACTGAAAAAGAGCAGAGGGAGGGGAAGGAGTCTCACTTGCAGTTAATACAGGTATAGAAGACAGTCTGTCCTTCATCAGCTGAGCGCATCTGTCTAGTGTGGTATGCCATTCCCTCGTGACCGCATCGAGGGCAGCGCCTGTCAACCTAGGAAGAAACAGAAGCGTTACGGAGACCTAGTCACAAGGTCTGCTTTCATACAGGAATCAGACTACTACAACTCTCTGACATTCTCTGGGAGCAAGTCCTTACCACTGGTCCCTGGGATTCAGGTCCTTCGTCCACAGACATAGGTATGACCGTCCCCAGTTTGTGGAACACAACTGAGGTCTTCACTACCTTCCCTTCGAAATCTGCGCAGGAAGTAAAAAAAACAAAACAAAACAAAACAGTAGCAATGGCGGAGGAGGCAACGAATCCCAGCAACACTCCCCCAGGTGGGTCACAGCCTCCCTTCGGGTTTACCCCCTGGGTCAATGTCTCGGGGACAGATTCCTGTTCTGGCTCTCGCCTCCCGGAGGCCAACCGAGGCCGAGGTCACCCCCACCGGGGACCCTCGGCCGGGTCTCACCTCGCACATCGATGGAGAAGCCGCAGCGTGGGCAGATGACAGCATCCTGAGCTCCAGGCAGCGGCAGGACCGAGCCACAATCTGGGCAGAAATCCAAGTCTGACTGAAAGTTGGAGCAGGGGCGGGCCAGCTCCATGGTGGATGGGAACTGAGAAAGGTTCATTAGTGAGGCGCAGGAGTCCTGCCTCGGAAGCGGCTCCCCATCGCGTCCCAGGCGTAATTACCCGAGTCCTCCTCTCACCGATTCGCCTCACCGCAGCGTTGGAGTGCTAGGCTTGAGCAGGGAACGGAGCGCGCAGGGACGCAGAGCGGCCAGGGGCGGCTCACAGCCGCGGGATGGAGCGTCGGGTCCGAGGCGCGGGGCAGCGAGCGCGCTTGGCGGGCTAGAGCGCCTTCGGGGCCTGGCCGCCGCTGGCCGTGACGTCATAATTAGTGGCGCAGTTAGCGAGCTCAAGGGAGGGAGCCGACCCTCAAGCGGACGGAAGTTAGCGGCGGCCCACGGTCGAGCACTGTGACTTCGATTTAGCAAAAGCGAAAAGCCAGTGTTAGCCACCCTGCTACTTTCCCGCTCCGCACTAATCCTGGATGGTATTTGCTTTCGCAGGGAATCCTCTACATAGCAGGGGAAGAGGGCGGGCCGAAACGCCCCCTTAACACTGTACTGATTTTCCGGAGCAACTGATTGCGTTGGATTGAGAGAACCACAACTCTGCCATTTCCGGAGACGGTTTGGTCTTTGGGGAGTGCAAAAGCAAAGTTAAGAAGCGTTCTTGTTCATCCGTTCGGACCTCCTGGCCGGTTGTCGCTCCCATGCGTCATTTTTGGGCAGTTCTGAGCTCTTGAGTGAGTCATTTTCGTAAGGAGCGTGGAATGGTGAGGGTGAAGGCAGAGGACGAACAAGGCATTTGAGAAGGAGCTTAGAGATTTGGCAGGTGAGACTAGGGCTCTTCTTCCCTTAGGCTCATGCTAGATGAGTTAGGCTAGCATTAATCAAAAGCGCCTCTGGATTTACTAGGGATTAGGTTTGGCTTTCACCTACAGACCGACTCCCACATCCCTAAGCTCCTGTTCACCCTTGTTTACATACCTGCTGTCCCCTAAGTGAACAATAGGGTATCTAGAAAGTCATGTCGTTTCATTCATTTGACGCCTACAAAATAAGGAAAACTTGTGTGCCGAAGAAGGACCAGCTTGAAGATGTGGTTCCCAGCCCTCCAGCAGCCAACCTGAGTTCCATGCTAAGTCTGGCCTCATAACCACTTTCTGAAGGACACAAACTCGACTGTTTGAATAGGAGAAGCCCTCATCTGTCTTTCTGTGCAGTTAATGTAAGATCAAACCATGGGGAATGCGTTAAAAACCCTCAGCAATATGCCAAAGAGGGCAGACCCTGTCTTTTTACTTAAGGGTGTCAAAGTGCTTGTCTAGCAAAGTTCTGTTGCTGAGCCCATGATGGTCAGACATCTTAAATTTAACCTGTGTCTTCTTTCAAAGTAGAAATTGAAGTTAGCCCAACTTTTCCTTTAAAGTTTGATGTTCATCAGACATTCACCATGGTTTGACTGATATCTGCTTTGATACTGCTACTTTACTGCAGTGGAGGAACACAAACAGTATTAGGCATGACTTTCCTTTCCCGATATTTAGCGCCTGCCAGGGGTAGAGCTGAGACTGGGACTCCATAGTTGAAATCTGTGTTCTCTCTTTCAAAACGGATGAATAGTCAGAATACAGAAAAAAAACAAAAACAAAAAACAACCAGGTGCTTGAGCCAGGGTTATGAAGGCCACAGTGGTACTTGCACATGCGCTAATTAAGAAAGGTGCAGCACGCATGCCTGTGTGGTGGTGCATGCCTTTATCCTAGCACGGGGGAAGCCGAGGCAGGAAGATTGTGTGTTTGAGGCCACCTTGGGCTGCAGAGCAAGGTCCAACCAGCTTCAGTATGTAGCAAACTCCTGTTTCTAAAATAAATTAGGTCCTTGTATCCGTGTGGGTGTGGGCATGCACACATGACTGCTGGGAGGGACCCCAGGGCCTTGGTACATCCTTTACTACTAAACTAAAAGATGCTTAGCTACTGTGTGATTAAAAACAATCAGAATTTTGAGACTTAGAATCATAACACTATATTTAATGCCTTGTGCAAGAAATGAATGAATGGAGCTGTTGAAATGGCTCAGTAGTTACGAGCACTGGCTGTTTTTCAGAGGACCCTGGTTCATTTCCCAACATCTGTCAGTTCCACCCAATCCAGTGCTCTCTTCAGACCGCCACAGACACCTGGCATGCAGGTGGTGCACAAACGTACACGCAAGCCAAACACTCGACCACATAAAATATAAAGAGAAATGCAAGTGTGATGGTCATTATCAGTTCTTGGAGGCAGGGCCTCACAGCCAGGCTGACCTAGAACCCACAGTGACCCCCTGCCACAGCCTCATCAGTGTGATTCCTGGATGAGCCCTCCATGTCAAGCTCTAGGATGGTAGTTTTTTCAATCTCAAACTATACGCAAATGAAAATGTCTAAGAAGGGATGGAGGAGATGGCCCAGTGGTTAAGAGCACTCCTAGGGAAGCCAGGTTCAATTCCCACCACCCACACAACAGCTGACAATTCCAATTCCAGGGAAGCTGATGCCTTCTGGTTTCTGAGTGTACCACAGACACATGTAGGCAAAACGGCAGTCCACATTAATGATAGAAATAACTTTTTCAAAAATCTTTAAGAAGTCAGTGAGAAATATTAGATATTAGAGCCTCTCCAATATTATAGTTTAATTTGTAAATATGCATTATAATTCATACACTTCCAGATAAATGATCAGTATTTGCAGATATTTTTAGGTTTACTTACATGTTTCAAATGTTTTGGCTGCATGTATGTGTGTACCACATGCATGCCTAGTGCTCACTGGGGTCAGAAGAGGGTGTCTGATCTCCTGCAGCTGGAGTTACACATGGTCATGAGCTGCCATGTGGTTGCTGAGACTCGCACCTACTCTGAAAGAGCAGCCAGTGCTCCTAATCACTGAGCCATCTCTCCAGTCCCAATAGTGACTGATTTAAAATATTTAATATATTCTTCTCTCGTCTATTACATCCCAATTGCAGTTTCCTCTCCCTCCTCTCTTCTCAGCCCCTTCCCTTCACCTTCCCTCTCCCCCAGATCCACTTCTCCCTTCAGAAAAGGGTAGGCCTCCCAGAGATAACCATCTAAACATGACATACCATGTTGAGGCATATCCTCTTGTTAAGACTGGATAAGGTGACCCAGTAGGAAGAAACGGGTTCCAAAAGCAGGCAAAAGAGTCAGAAACAGCCCCTCCCCTCCTACTTTAGGTGTCACACAATATCGCTAAGCCACACAACCATAACATAAATACAGAGGACGTGGGTCAGACCCATACAGGCCTAGTCTGTGGATTCAGTCTCTGTGAGCCCTGGTTGGTTGATTTTGTGGACCATTTTCTTGTGTCCTTGACCCCTCTTGGCTCCTGCAGTCCTTCCTCGCATTGTTCTGCAGGCTTCCCCGAGCTCCACTAATGTTTGGCTGTGAGTCTCTTCATCTTCTCCCATCAGTTGCTGGATGAAGCCTCTCTGATGACGGTTATGCTAGGCTCTGGTCTACAAGTATAGCACAGTATCATTAGGAATAATTTCATTGACTTTATTTTGGTTTTCTTTTTTCAAGACAGGGTCTCTCTGTATAGTATCAGCTGTCCTGGAACTCTCTGTAGACCAGAGATGGCCTTCAAATCAAAGAGATCTGCTGGCCTTTGCCTCCCAGTGCTTGGATTAAAGGCATATGCCTCCACCACCTGTCCACTTTTTAATTTATTATTTTTATCATCATTAATATTTATTTACTTCACAGTAGTGTTTGGTTTGGGCCTAGGATCCTGGGCTATTCAGCCTCTAGTTTCTGGCCCTCTAGGCAGTGTCTGACATGGGCTCTCTCCCATGGCATGGATTAACATTTTATGTCTATGGGTGTCTTCATGTACATCTGCACAACAGAAGACGGCATTGGATCTCATAGGACTACAGTTAAGACAATGTGAACTGCCATGTGGGCGCTAGGAATTGAATTCAGACCTCTAGAACATCAGCTAATACCCTTAACCACTGAGCCAGCTCTCCATCCCCTGGTAGTGATTAGTTTTTATGTGAAATGAAAATTCCCCCAAAGGAAGGGAGAATCACTGTGATGAAGTAGACTAGGAAGACTTCATGGAGACCTAGGACTTACCTGTGAAGGGCAGGTAGTTGACATTCACCGAGGATTTCCCATGTGATCTTCGTAAGCCTAAACCACGTGTGTTCTTTAGGACCCTGAGAGGTGGGTCCTTATATCTGCACTTTATAAACAGGGAAACTGACACAGACATTGGCTGGCTTCCCCTGCGTATACCTTGAGGAAATCGAATTATGGTTCAGTTTTATTGCTGTCGGTCCTCAAAGCCTTTGTTTTTGACTGTAGTTTGAGGGTCCCCAAGCTATGTGCTTGGGGACAGCTTCAGTGCCTTAATGCGACCTCACAGTAAACTCAGGTTTGAGCAGGAATGACTCATAAAAACTTGGTGGTCTTCACCTGTGGGGCCATCAGCCTGATAAACAAACTCAGGGGGCCACAACGCTCTGCCTGCAGGGTTTCAACAGAGAATGGCCTGGGAATGAATGTAGGGTGAAGGATGATTGGAAGCGTCAGTCAGTCAAACAGAGGGCCAGATAATCAAACAGGAATAGACTCTTGGAACAAAACCAAGCAAAGATGCTATATGTGCTGATAGAGGCACAGAGGGCCTGGCTGGAAAAGGCACACAAAGACAATGAGCTGGCCAAAGGAGAGACTAGAACTATCTCAGACGATAAAAGAGGCTCTGAGACTATTTCTTCCCTCTGTGAGTCCAAAATCCCTGATTCTGAGTGGTTTACATTGAGTCCAAAGGAAAGGTATGTTTTATATAAAAGGAATGATCTTCATAATTCTGCACTATGGGAAATGCAGTGGTTTCTCAGTAGAGAAATGGCTCTAGTTCTTGGCCAAAACAGTTCAGTTCTTTGACTGGGATGATAGGTGAGTAATTGTGGCATCTCCCACATTCAAACCTACCTTTGCTTTTTAATCTTTCAGACTGGCTTGGGCAAAAGCATCCAGAGACCCTAGGATTGCAGAAGGCCAACTGTCTCCACTGGAGAAAAGGATCCTGGTAAACTATCTGTATACCTTACAGTTTGGAACTACTCAGAAAAGGAACCCAAGGTTTAAAATCCTTCTGCGCAGGGGACACTTTGAGGCAGGGCTCCTCCAGCAGCACCTTCTACTCTTGTAAATTATCCCAACACCAATTTCTACAGCTATATATTTTAAAAACTAGGGAATACTGCATGCTTTCAGAACATCCAGGCTTGCCTGGGAGCATGGGGCATAAAATTTAAATTGTTACTATAAAGTAAATGAAAGGTGTGTGTGTGTGTTTGTGCGTGTGTGTGTGTGTGTGTGTGTGTGCGCGCATGTCTGTCTGTCCACCTGCTTATGATTTCAGAGTTCTCAGTTTGTACCACCACTCCTGTCCCAAGACTCCTTCGTTAATAGTACTGGGGAAAGGGAATTTCTTTTAAATGTGTTTAAAGGAAAAATTATAAAATTCTGAACCTCACTTTAACAGCGTTGTGGTGGTGTGCATACAACAGCAGCAAGAAACTTGGTTACTCAGAAACGCCAAGAGGAGAGGAAGGTGCTCTGTGGGGAACAAGCTCATTCTCTTGACTACTGGCTTGCAAGAGCAGAGTCTTACTATAATAAAAAAATGGTGGAAATGATGAAAAGGGAAGGTGCAGGGGTTAAAGCAAAGAAGAAAGTGGAAGAGGAAACATCACCAAACATAGAGGGGCAAGAAAAATATTACTGTGTATCTGAGAGAGAGAAGAAACAAATAAAAACGCACATTCGTAGAGCAAGCCAGGCCAGAGAATTTAAGACCAAAACCTGGAGACAGCCACGATTCAGTGAAACACTACCCAAAACAATTTTGCCAGAAAAGCCTAGCATCCCAAAAGAACAAAGAAGAAGGCAGGTAAATGAGAGAGAACTGCTCCAAATTAAAGACCATCAAGAACGCATGATTCGAGGGAGGGAACTTCTAGAGCAAAGACTCAAAGAGAGAATCTTGAGAAAAAGCCAGAGCCAGATTCCACAACCAGAGAAGCGCAGTCGAGGGAAGAAAGAAGGAAAAGAGTTTGAAAGGGTAGTTGCATACCCTCTTTTCCAGCCATCCAACACAAGTCGGATTAAAGTGGATATTCTCATGGAAAAATACCCGGATGAAGAGAAAGTGAGCAGAATTATAAAACCGTATGGAAGGAAATTCTTGGCTGTACCACCCTTTTTGAGAACTCAAATAGGAAAATTAAAGGATCAGTAAAGTTTCAGACCTTTGATAATGAAACCGTGTTTTTTGGGGGTGGTGGGAGGTTAATACAGGGTCTCTCTGTGTAGCTGGCTGTCCTGAAATTCACTTTGTTGACCAGGCTGGCCTGGAACTCAGAGAACCACCTGCCTCTGCCTCCTGAGTGTTGGGATTAAAGATGTGTGCCACCACCTGAAACTGTTTCTTACATGAACCTGTCTTTTATGTTCTGGTTGTCTGCATAAATTGATGAATGGTGCTATTTTTATTACATACATACATAGTTATCAGGTAGTCTGACCTTGATGGTTTGCCTACCTATTTTTAATTACTTTGTGTTTGTTCAAATTATCCTTTGTTTGTTTTTCAAGACAGAGTTTCCTTGTGTAGCCTCGGCTGTCCTGGACTGGCCTCAAACTCCTAGCAATCCGCCTGCCTCTGCCTCCCAGGGTGCTGAGATTACAGGTGTGCACCACCACACCCGGCAGCAAATTATCCTTTAAAACTTTTTTAGATTATATTTTTGTGTATGAGTGGGGTGTGTGTGTGTGTACACCACGGGTCATTATGGAGGTCAGAGGACCACTTGCAAGAGTTGGTGCTCTCCTTCTATCATGTGGGTCTGGAGATTCAACTGAGGTCATCAGGCTTGTCAACAAGAGCCTTTGCTCACTGAGTGATGTTGCCAGCTCTGCTTATCCTTTTAAACAGTTTCCTTATTTGTAGTGTGATGGGACTTATGGGGGATTATGACCATTGTGGATTCACTGTTGTTTCAGAGATGTTAGCTCCCCAAGCTGGGAAGACCTAATTGCACAATAATGATGAATAAGGAATTTTTTTTTCATCTGCCAGGGTCTCTGGTTCCTCCTGTTTCCAACTTTGAAAGTTATCTTAATAATGTTATCACAGTTCAATATAATCTTACACTTTGATGGGTACTTTGATGCCTTCACTAGAGAAATATTAACCAGGCTCTAAAATTCTGGCTTACAGCGTGTAATTTACTTATATGAAGGCTTTAATTTTGAGACTCTTCCTATGTACTAGGCATTGGGTCCATTACTGGAGATTAGGCAATGTTATGGGAGACTTTTCCTGGGGGAGACATGAATGAACATCTACTCCCCCAGATAAGGCACCAATGGCAGACCAAAGAAACAGTTCCACAAAAGTCCAACTGGGCATGACTTACATGAGCGTGGGTGTTTAAAGACAGCTCTGTATCACCAAAAAGCCTACCATACCGTGAATGATAATTTTTGGAAGCTGGAACCCTGCACCCCTCTGCAGCACTTGCAGATATCAGACAGGTCAGAGAGTCTCCCCTCTCCAGGTGTCATTGCTTTGGGAGGGCTCTTGTGGATCTTCTAAATTTCAGGAACTTCCTGGGAATCAGCAGTGTGTACTGCATGAGTCTTAATGACCTCCTCCAGAATGGAATGCTTAATTGAGCAGAATCTTCTCCACAACCCTGAAGAAAAGGCCTTGTCGTGGAGTAGTGAAGAGCTCATGGTGTGACTCACTCTGCCACCAGGTAACGTGTGTTGAGGGTGATGATAAAGGGATGTACAGGTGCTGTACGAAGAAAGGACCCTGCCCACTTGAGCAACCCTCTCTTAGCATACGTTTAACTTCAGGGTTAGGCAAACCCAACCTTTCACAGACACATGTCTTCAGAACTTATTGAAAACCATGAAGCAAAAACTATGAACTTAGAATTTATTCACCAAGGTGAATGTAACTTAGTATTTCCCCATTCAATTCGTTGCCTGCTTTCTCTTGAGACAGAGTCTTTCTATCACATAGCTCTGGCTGTCCTGGAACTCATTGTGTAGACCGGGGTGGCCTTGAACTCACAAGAGATCCACTTGCCTTTGCCTCCAGAGTACTGGGATTAAAGGCATCTGTCATCACAACTGACTTAATTTTCCCTTCTTAAAAATGTATTTGTTTTATGCCTATGGGTGTTCTGTCTGAGTGCATGTCTGCACCATGTGAATGCTTGGTATCCAGGGAGGCCAGAAGAAAACATCAGATCACATGGAGCTGCAGTTACAGAGCGTTTAGAGCACTATGCGGGCGCTAGGAACTTGGATCCTCTGGAGGAATAACCGAGGAGCCGTCTCCCTAGCCCCATCAACTCATTGTCTTTATCATTATGTTTATTTTGTGAGTGTGTATGTACGTATGAATGTGCATGTGTTAGAGAATAGCACGTGGGACAGTTCTCTTTTTTCACTGTGTGTGTGTGGTATGTATGGTATGTGTGTGTGGTATGTGTGTGGATGTTAGAGAACAGCATGTGGGAGATAGTTGTCTTTTTTCACTTTGTGAGTTCTAGAGCTTGAGTCCAGTCTTGGCAGGAAATGCCTTTGCTTGCTGAGCCAGCTCACCAATTCCTTTTCTTAGTAGCAAATGTTGAGAAAGTAGAAACTCACAGTTGCTGAATAGAGAAGCAGAGACATAAAGCCTTGGTGTCCTAAGGTTGCACACTCAGTCTGTGACACTTCTGACAGGGCGTGCAGTAGCTATCACCGGCTCTGTGCTGGCCAGTACGACGTCTTGCAATAAAGCAAATGTCTGTATCTGCGTTCTTCAGAAGAGTAGCCGCTTCCTGTATGTGGCCATTGACCGTCCAAAATGTGGCTGGTGTGCCTGAGGAAATGAATGCTTCCTTATTTTTTTGACAGAGTCTCTAATGCGGTTGAATTTAAATGTCCCACGTGGTAAACATTGTTAGGGTTTGGGCAGCCGCGTTATATGGCGGGTTTTAAGTCACACGACAGGTTCCACGTGGGAGCTTTTATTGGACTGTCTCTGGGTGAGGCGGAAAAAAGAGGTGGGGATAAGCCTTCCTTAGGCGACCCAGGACCAGCACATGCTTGTGTCACTTTGGTGTTAAAGGGTCCAAAGTTTCTGCTGCTGAGTTTCTGAAGGTGGCCACAGAGATGCCTGATGTTCTGCTTGTCAGGTCCGCTGGGGCTAGCCGTAGAGATGCCTGTTTGCCAACTCCAGTACACTGTTCCTGCCCCCCCCCCGCCCCCCCCCCCGTCAGCTCTCTGTGTTTGACACTGGTTGATGGTTTGAGAAGTTTCTCCTCATCTCACATTAGTATCTGTCTAGTTTCCTTTGTAATTCCGAGGTTCACTAACCCCTTAAAGAGACTGAAGTGTGTTATAGACAGCTTCTTTATGGAAAGAGCTGACTTTGTCTTTTGAAGCAGTGAGGGAGAGTTTCTCAATCAAAAAAGCCCAGGACCAAATGGACTCACTACTGAGTTTGAACAGATTAATGATCCTCAAATTAGAAAATAGAAAAGGAACACCACCAAACTCATTTTATGAAGCTAGCCAAACTGAACAACACTAACAATTATAGTCTAATTTCTCCAGTAAGCATGGATGCAAATTTCTCAAAAATACCTATAAACCAAGTTTAACACAGATTTCTAAATCATGTACCATATTCAGGTTGGCTTCATTCTAGAGACACAAGAATAGTCAGGGTTCCTTTAACCAACAGTTATCTGTGTTGTAAATGTGTAAAAGAAGAAAAGTAGCGAGCCAATTGTATTTGGTATTTTTTAAAATATGGAACATTTACAACATTTCTTACTGAATTAAATTTATCACAAGGACAAAGGAGGACCCGAAAATGATTGTGTAAGTTAAGGATGAAATTCCTTGTTAGCAGAGGTGGAGAAATTCAAATGAAGTAGTAGAGTTGGCAGCTCAGCAGATGGGTTGGGAGATATTGTTGGGCTAAAGGAAAATATTTAGGCTGATATGTTAAATGACATTTAAAGCCTTGGAAATGACTAAAATCAAGAAAGGAGTGATTGGTAAAAGAAAGGAAACGAAGATCAACCCCCGCCTGTATGCTGAAGTGACTACCTAGCTCTGGGCTTTTCTGTGCGCATGAGTCCCTGGAACAACAACATTGGTTTCGCCTGGTATAGAGTGGGATTCTGTATGGCTTGGGCTGAGGTTATTGATCACACAGCAGCAAGAACGTAGACCAGCAGCCTCTAGGCTATATGCGTCAGCCTCACAGCTTGTTGCATAAGTGATTGCCATGCCAGCTTGGTCATTCACACTTGTAATCCTGGAGGATTACCGAGAGTTCAAAGTCAGTGTTGACTATTGTTTGCTTTTCTCATTCCTCTGACCAAATTCTTTGCAGAAGCAACTAGAGGTGTAATGTCAGGTTCACAGGACCCTCAGAGACCACCAGGAGACGACTCGATGCAATTGCAAGAGAGCTTTATTACAAGAGCAATCAAACTCGGGACCCAAGTCTCACTGACGCAGCAGTAGAGAAGTGGGACCCCAAGCTCTGAGTGAACAGGATTTTTAAAGGGAAAGTCTGTGAGTCGGGGGGGGGTTTCCATGGCAGCCAGCAGGGGGGCACAAACCTTGGTGTTACAGAATTTGGTGGAAGTTTAGCAGGGTGGGGTGACCTTCTCTGAGGCACATAATCACAATGGCTAAGGCATATAATCACAATGGCTATTTTTCTAAACCATATCTGAAACATTGGGGAGAATTTTCCCACCTGATTCTCAACCGATTCCCATTGATTATTGCCAGGGAGTTTGTCTCTATTTTCTATGAAGCATTTATTCTATATTATTTCCTGGAGCCTGTTGCTAGGAGAGTTAACTTTTTCTCTGCCAGTTGTACATTCTGTGATATTTTCTGGTACCTGAATTCAGCTCTTTATTTCAAAATGGAGTTATACTCAGGCTAACTTAAACTCTTCAGAGGGAAGAGGAATTTATTTTGGCTCATTTAGGAGAGCAGAGTCTATCATGGTGAGGAGTTCATGACTGCAGGAGCATGTGGCTGGCATTTCTTGAATCTTGCTGTGTCAGAAAGCAAAGAATGGGGAATGCTGGTACTCATCTGCCTCTCTCCTTTCTCCTCTCTGATTCAGTCAGGGCCAGAGCATAGGATGGTGGAAAACAAATCTAGAGTAAGTCTTCCCTTTCAGTTAATTCTCTCTGAGAAACACCCACAAGGACATTCATTCTAAAAATGTATCTGCTAGAAGATTATTAATCTAGTCAAGTTTTCAATGAAGATTAGCCATCAGTGCTACATTTGTGAGTAGCCAGCCTAGATTACAGTGTGAAACTTTGCTTTAAAAAATGTTCAGCAATCTAAATGGTGGGTCTTAG